ATAAACGGAAAGAGGTTACCTGCTCTAGGAAAAGACCTCTAGATGATGGACTAAATGATACCATTAAAAGTTTACAATCAAATGAAGAGAGCTCTTCTAAGGTTCAAGAAGAGAACTTAGAACCCATAAGAATCAAACGGGGCAAAATAGCCAAAGATTTTGGACTTGATTACATGACCTATATAGTGAATAAGGAACCACAAACCTACAAGGATGTTATGGATTCGTCTGAAGCTCCCTTTTAGAAAGAGGCAATCAAAAGTGAGATTGATTCCATTGTGCAGAGTAACACTTGGAAATTGGTAGATTTGCCACCTGGGCAAAAACCAATTGGGCACAAATGGATATTCAAGAAGAAGTTTAGACTTGATGGTACCATTGAGAAGTACAAAGCTCGTTTAGTAGCTAAAGGGTATCATCAAAAAGAGGGTCAAGACTTCTTTGACACCTATTCACCTGTTACAAGAATTACATCAATTCGCACATTAGTATTGCAGCCATTCACAATTTGGAAATACACCAAATGGATGTGAAAACTGCCTTCTTGTATGGTGCACTAGATGAAGAGATATATATGAACCAACCTAAAGGGTTTGTGGTTAAGGGTCAAGAAAACAAAGTTTGTAAGTTAGTTAGATCATTTTATGGACTAAAACAAGCTCCAAAGCAATGGCATGAGAAGTTTGACAACACATTACTCTCTAATGGATTTAGAATTAATGAATGTGATAAATGTGTTTATGTCAAACAATACAAGAATGCTTGTGTCATCATATGCTTGTATGTGGATGATGTGCTTATAATGGGTACTAATTTGGATGTGATCAATCAAACCAAGAAAATGCTACACTCCTCGTTTTCCATGAAGGACTTGGGAGTAGTAGATGTGATCCTTGGTGTAAGAGTTCAAAGAAGATCAGATGGTTATACTCTAACTCAGTCCCATTATATTGAAAGTGTACTTAAGAAGTTTGGACACTATGATGACAAGCCGGTAATCACCCATTTTGATCCTTCAAGTCATCTTAAGAATAATAAAGGTGATAGCGTAGCTCAGTTAGAATATACTCAAGTTCTTGGTTGCTTAATGTATATTATGAATTGTACTAGACCGGACTTGGCTTATAATGTAAGTAGATTGAGTCGTTACTCCCACAATCCTGGAAAAGATCATTGGTATGCATTAGTGAGTGTGCTTAGATATTAAAGCATACAATGAATTATGGACTACACTACACGAAATATCCTCCTGTTCTTAAAGGGTATTGTGATGAAAATTGGATTTTCAATACTTCAGAGGCAAAATCCACAAGTGGATATGTGTTCACTCTTGGTGGAGCTGCTATCTCTTGGAAATCATCTAAGCAAACTGTGAATACTCGTTCTATAATGGAAGCAGAGTTTGTTGCTTTAGACAAAGCTATTGAAGAAGCTGAATGGCTAAAAAGATTCCTAGAGGGTATTCCTCTATGGCCTCAACCTGTTACTGCCATTGCCATACATTGTGATAGTATGGCTGCTCTTACTAGAGCAAAAAGTGATATATACAATGGCAAGCCGAGACACATTAGGTACAGACATATTACAATAAGAGACTTGCTGAAGAATGGAATAATTTCCATTAGTTACATAAAGTCAAAGGAAAATATAGCTGATCCCTTGACAAAAGGCCTTAGTAGAGAGCGATTTCTCTTCACATCGAGGGGAATGGGCTTAAAGCCAACACAATGAGTCACCACCTGGCAGAAACCTAACCTAGCAACATTGGAGATCCCATGGTCTAGGTTGAATAGGAAAACTAGTTGGGGGAGACTCAAAGAACCACCTACACAAAGGTATGCTCACTCCTATGATATTTATTTTGTGTTTTTCGTTGATGATATAGGGGTGAATTCTTTATTCTTAATAATGCTGATAACTTTTATAGTGGAATAGTACGGATTGTTCCAGATTAGCATTACTTATGTGAGATGGATGTGAGGTCGCATCTTTGGTAGCTGATATGGCTAAGCTCTCTAAAAGTCTCATGAAGAAAGGATTGTTCACGACCGAAAAGAGCACAACGGTAAGAAATGAACCATGCTTAGATATTATATGTGTGATACTTCTTGTTTTTGATTCTACTATAAAAAGTGGTTAGTTCAAGACTCTAGTTCACTACCCACAAAGTAGATCCAAGTAGTACTCACTATGAAAGGTTCCAGTTTTCCAAAACCTATTCAGATGCATGTCATATCTTACTTCCCTTATTTAAATATCAAAGTTCACTTATTTTCTATTCAAATGTGGGGTATTCTTGGAGTTTGAATAGAAAATGTGGGGTATTGTTGGAACTTTGCTCTATAAAATTACAATATGGGACTTATCCCACATTGGTGGAAAAGGAAACTTTTTCCCACCTTATAAGGCTTGTCCCACTCATTTATTTAAATGAACCAAGAAATGGGTTAAGCAAATTGGGTTTGGGTTGTGGTGTTGGACTAGTCAAATTGGGCTAGTAGTAGGCTTGGATTATTAAATATTAATGGTCAAAGATAGGGCCTTTGGCCTTGGGGCTCTTGGGCTCTTCTTGACTAAATAATATTTTTTAATATATAATCCGAAATTAATTAGTCATTAATTAATCTTCTATTAATTCAATGCAAAACAAATTTTGTTAAATAAAGGATTAACTGCAGACAATTTTTGGCAGTTAATTTCGGTTGGTGGTTTACAACCACCATAAGAAGCATATAAATGAAGGAAATTGGACAAAATTTGGAGGCTAATGATACACACACACACACACACACTTTCTCTCAAAAATCGTTTATCTTTCCAAAGGGATCCTAGTGAATTTCGACAGATTCAAGATCTGTTCTTGAATTGGATTGTTGTATCCTCAAGACAGACCCGTTCTAGAGAAAATTTTATCTTAGGACACTGCAAAAGAAGGCCTCAATCTATACAATTTCGTGGTTATATTTCTGTGTAATCATCAAACAAGTATGTTTTTAGTAAATTTGATTCTTGTATATTAAATATATCTAAATTTAGTTCGTTTTATTTCAATTACTTTGTTGATTGTATACTTCTGTAATAACAAACCTGACATCAACCTATTAAAACATATACGATTATATGTAAGACAAGATTTTGGGGCAATTTCATATGGGTTTGATACTAAAAAAACCGTCTAAAATACGTCAACAATTCTTTAAAGAATTATTATCAATGCTAAAGTTAAAAAATAACATGCATTTGTATATATGTGTGTTTGTATGTTAAATTTAAAAAATGTTTATATGACAAGAAGCAATTGATACAAACACATAGTTCTACTTCTTCATATCAACACACATCATTATTAAATCGATTATTGCATTGATTTGATTCAAATCGTCAAATCGGTACCAAACTAATGCATGATAATTTATTCTCAGGTACCTTTTTAGGACGAATAGTTTGTTGTACGCTATACAACATATTGTTGGATTAGTGTCTAAGTCCATAACTATTTTGGTATGTACTTGATCCGATGGTGCATGGTCCTTTTGGGTTGCCTTCACCAAAGCAACTTGATTGGAGAAATTAATAAAGAAAGAGAGGATAATATGATTTATTAATATGTTATAAGAATAATATATTAAAGGAGAAATCATATTTGTTTAATTAATATTGGTCAATAATTAATTAAGAATTAGTTTTGTGATCAAATGTAATTAATTAAACTAGAGGGGCTGATTTGTAATTATGTGATAGTTACAAAATAAGGTAAGGATTATCTTATTTATATGGTGGACGAATTTAAGGTTGGAAAGCCTTAGAATTCGAGTATGATAAGGATTCAAGGATTATCTTATTGGTTGCTTAATGGATAATCAACTAGATAAGGATAATGACTGAAACCCTATCTCTACACCTATATAAACACCCCTAGGGTCATGAATTCGTGTATCCCTTCCCAAGAGGTCCTAGATACGAATTCTAACCTCTCACCTCTCTCTTTATACCTTCTCCATTTGCTTATGGTGTTTGTAAGCCATTAGAGGAGTGACACTTGTGACTCTAAGCATTCCAAAGTCAATATAAGGAGATTTGTGATTGTTATTGCTATATAACAATCAAGGTATGTTCTTAGACCTAATTATATGTTAATGTCGATTTCCATATGTTAGAATTAGGGTTTATAGTTTTGGATTAAAAGCATGTACAATAGAGAAACCTAGATCCAAGCATTAGGATTTGTATGAGCACATAGGATGTCTTATGACCAAAACCCATCACATATACATGTGTGTGAGAGAATAAGTAAATATCAAATAACAATGTTAAACAGTTCATTATATAGAGATGGCATGATTTTATACAAAATTGATGTCACATCAAGTCATTTGATTTGTATGTAGATTAGGTGACTTAAAAAAGTGAACGATCAAGGGTTCTCACAGCAACGATCAAGAGTTCTCCAGCAGGAACATACGTTGGCGTTCATGTTTAGCATCTTTCTTCCCATGTTATTAGGGTTGGTGTTCCTTTGGCAATAAGAAATTGATTCAACGATAGGTTCAAATGAGGATATGGTACATAATCTTTTTCACACCATGCAAACTATGAAATTCCTTAAGCAATTCTTCATTCTTGAATTATAGATACATCATACATGTGAAAGATTTGGCATAGTGATAGACGTGTTTATTGCCAAACATCTCACAAAGATTGGTAAGTCATTTGCCTTTGTGTGCTTCATTTATATAGATTAGGGATGAACATTTGGACCGGGGAACCGGCCAGAACCGGTACCGGAACCGGATAAAACCGATTGGTCCGAGACCGAGACGATATTCTTGTGGATTTTTGGAATCGGGAACCGGAAAAAACCGGAACTGTATGTTGCAATTTCTTGAGGACCGGTTCTAACATTGAAGACACAACAAGAACCTGTAGAACCGACGGTCTGGTTCGGTTCCTATTTTCCACCAAGTTCGGTTTCCGGGCCGGTATCGGTCGGGCCGGTTCCGATGCTCATGCCTAATGTAGAGACATTAGTTTCGAATCTTTTCACCATATGGATAGGAATATTGGAATTGCATGCTAATGTGGCTCGCTTTGATAAAGATTCTAAACCTGCAGTGGTACCAATGAAAAGGGTTAAACCTATGGAAAACCATCATCAACCCCTACATTCCAATAACGGAAGACCTTATGCATCAACTCTTTGTGTAGATAATGTTCGTACAAGTGTTTTGAAAGACGTTAGCAACCTCGCTATTGTAATTAATCATTGGTGTCTAGGAATAAAGATTCTTCTTTAACTTTAGTTGGATGTGTGAAGGAATCATGTAGTCTTCCAAACCTACATGTCATTTTGTAATAACGAGTGATGAATCTCAGTTCGTTCTTTCTGATCGCTTATAGGAAGGCTGAACATGACATATAAATAGAGAACTGGGTGTTCGAGCCTAAAAAACAACACAACCAGTCAAAATTTCATCAAGGTCGACCCTAGAGAACACTCACACTCTGATAGTTAAGTCACTGAATGATCTTAATTCGAATTCATGTGAGGAATGTAAAGTGATCGAGTTTGCGTACTCATGTACTTGGTTTCGAGGATCTTTTATGTCTTTCTCATTAGGAATAATTACCCCATTTAGTCGATATGGATTTGGTCCAATCGCCACTAATGGTCTGACTGCCAAAGATATAGAGGATTGTACTTAGGTTGAGTCATTAGTCACTTCTGATGGATTCTAAGTACTATGGTTATCCTTAACAGTAAGCTACAACTGTTTAGTGTTGTAATCGAGGTACATTAGTCTCAATCTCGTCATCTTGGCACTGTATAACACACTTCACCAATGCTAGGTTTTTTCGATCGTTATCGTGGTTCGGCATATCGACACATTATTCCTTGCAGGCAATTTTGACTCTTCCTCGTGTAGGTCCGGTCAACACTCTTTCTTGTAGGTTCGAACGAGGAGCTTAATTAACCGATCAGGTATATATCTCATTAAGTCCCCCTAATTCGAATCATTATTGATAATGATTCAAATTAAGACTGTTGTAGCCACACCACTCTCTTAACGGATAAGTTTGAAATTGACACAAATGGTGATGAGACGGTTTTGCAAGCCTACTTCCCATCATTATCCTATTACATCGCAACTATTGCTTCACATAAATACAAATTTTTCTCATCTATTTAGAGGGAACCTCGCAGTCTTAACCGCCCATTCGACGATTTCCTCTTTTGCTTTTATCGCTCTCGGCCTCTCACTTCCTTTTCTTCTTCACAATTTCTCTGCCATTTGTTATGGCTAAAGACAATCAAGGCATTCAACCAATGTTTTCTTCCCTTACGTCAAAACAATTGAAAAACATTGTAAAATTGTATAAAATCAAATCGCGTTTCAAGCCACGACTTCCTTCTCCCTCACAAATCATCACCAGTCCTCCCTTGGGGTTTGTGGGAGTATATCATAAATTATTTCATATCGGTTTGAGGCTACCTGCCTTTGACCATTTGAAAGTCATTCTTGATCATTACAATCTCCACATCATCTAAATTACTCCTAACAGCTTCCACAAGATTATATGTTTTGTTATGCTTTGTAAAGCTTTAAACATCATGCTAGTTCTTACTTTGCTTCGTCACTTGTATGTGACCATGGTGAGCCATGACTAGATATAATTTTCTCTTCAGAATGATAGAATCGATATTTATGACGGGTTGTCTAAATCTATTAAGAAGTGTAAGTATGAATTCTTTCTAGTGGATGCATCTGCTTTTCCAAGTCCTATGAAGTTGGGTAACCTTGACGATCAAGAGTCCGACTCCGATCCTGAACTCAGCCTTATAGAAAAGACTGTTGTTGATAGGTTATCTGTAAATTATATGAAATGGTCTGATCCAGATGAGGGGGTGCTTGAAATGGTCGGGCTAGAAAACGCTTGGGCTAAGGAAGAGAAATTAGATCCCACTCTTCAAGGTAAGTCTCCGATTCTTTTAGATCAGTTACATCATAGATGCCTCATCGGAACTTCAAAATCATCTGAAGACCATTTTATTAATTGGCTCTTCAAAAGGGGATGCCAAACCCAAACCTGAGTCCAGTATCAACTCACTCCTCTCTATTGAAATTGGTATTCCTTCTTTAACTGCACCTTTTAAGGATTAGACAAGGGTGATTAAGATTAAGCGTAGCAAACCTCCTTCCTTTTCTTCCAAGCAGCCTATCATAATACAGGTCTCATATAAGAGGAAAGACACAAGTCATTGTGATGATGTAGTGGCGGTTGATTTCGGGGTTGAAAAGACTTTATATATTGGAGGCAGTGCTAGATTGTTTAGACGATTTGGTGAATGTTTTTCCCATCAAGCGTCGAAGAACTCTACGGCCCCAAAAAAACACAAATGTCATTTCGGCGAGTTCCATGGATGAATATGTAGCCCCACCTATGATTTCTGCGGATGTAGGCGAAACCACTAAGCTACATGAGCGCCCTATTCATTTTGACCCCATCATGGCTGATACTAGCAATGCAGCTGTCGAGCCTTCCCTTCCAGTTGTTCCTCCTGAAGGGTCAGGAGAGGTAGCACTTATTCAATCTGATGTTATGGTGGTTTGTACAATCGCTCGTCCCTTTATCAGTGTTCCTAACCTTCATGTTGATGTTGCAAGGCTTTCTTTTCGCCAAAAGTTATTTGGCCTAGGATTTGGTTCTGGGAAAACTAAACCCAATATTTTGGGAGCTATGCCAACTGTTAGCACTCGTGTTGAGGCAAATCCTTCTTCAAAGGAGAATACCAAATTTGAGGTTATTGATACTCTTGATTTGGACTCCTTCATAGCTACTTCAAACCAACTTGTCATCGAGGTCGATGCCAACACTGTTAGACCCATGTAACATCCAATTTTAGGATGTTTTTGATTTCGGGTTAAAAGATCGTAATTAGATCGAATAAAGGTGTTAGTCTTCAAGGGAATAGAGTTTAGACTTTATATACATTGGCTCAAGC